TCGTAAGCCTTACCTCCCCCCAGGGACGCAATCCATATTTCAAGAGCTACAGGGTGTAGTATTTGAAATGCGCCGCCAGATACACAAGTGGCTCATACCACAGCCACATTCTGATAACACTGCATCAGCCAGCCTGTGAAATACTTAGTATTTATGATTCGAAACTACACTCCCCTAATGTATTGATATATTTGAAGATTTACCCATTCATACCTTAATATCGATGTGTGTGAAGAGTGGAGTGAGCTCCTCTAGTTTCCACGACAACCCCTGGAACTAAATATAAGACAGATGATGATAAAGAGCCTATGACATCATCAGATAAAATACTTGAATTCAATGATTACTTGTTTTGAACGACGAAATTACTCGTGGTAAGGGAACTCAACAAACTGATTTAGATTGGATATGGCCTACCACAAAAAATATTTCAGTAGTTTGTGGAACTAATATGAATAATTCAAGAGACAGAAATAGAAACAACAACTTATTTAGAGCGCAGTAAAAGTAAAGTAAGTAGTGGTATAGAGACAAAATAAAAACGGTTTGTATCAAAAGATTTTATTGAACACAGTCTAACACAGGCTAAATAAAATATTATTGAAGTATAACTCCTACACAGTCAGGCAACATTGATTCCCAACGTCGAGTCATACCCCGTTAGGTAGAATAGATTTAATTAACTGTGAGTAAGGAAGGTAGACGTTTTGATCTCGTGAGAGCAGTATATTTCTGAGCATTTCATCTTGGAATAGCCTCATAAGAAACATCTTACTTACTTACTTACGCCTGTTACTCCCAGTGGAGCAGAGGCCGCTGACCAGCATTCTCCAACCCACTCTGTCCTGGGCCTTCTTTTCTAGTTCCATCCAATTCTTGTTCATTTTTCTCATGTCTATCTCTATTTCCCGGCGTAATATGTTCTTTGGTCTTCCTCTTTTCCTTTGGCCTTGAAGATTCCATGTGATGGCTTGTCTTGTGACGCAGTTGGGTGCTTCCCTCAATGTGTGTCCTATAAACTTCCAGCGCTTCTTCCTGACTTCTTCCTCCACTGGGATCTGGTTTGTTTTCTCCCACAGTTGGTCGTTGCTAATAGTGTCCGTTCAACGGATCCGAAGTATTTTGCGTAGACAACTGTTAATAAACACCTGTATTTTGTGGATGATGGCTTTCGTAGTTCTCCAGGTTTCTGCACCATACAGTAGAACTGTCTTGACATTTGTATTGAAAATACTGACCTCTGTGTTGGTTGTCAGTTGCTTTGAGTTCCAGATGTTCCTCAGTAGTAAATATGCTGCTCTTACTTTACTGATCCGCGCTTTCACATCTGCATCGGATCCACCATGTTCATCAATGATGCTGCCCAAATATGTAAATGTTTTTACATTCTACAAAGCTTCTCCGTCAGTTGTGATTGGATTGGTGCATGTTGTGTTGTATCGGAGAATCTTGATTTTCCCTTTTTGTATATTGAAACGTACTGCTTCTGAGGCTGCTGCTACACTGTTCGTATTTTCCTGCATTTGTTGTTGCGTTTGGGATAGAAGGGCCAGATCATCTGCGGAGTCCAGATCGTCCAACTGCATCCTAGATGTCCATTGTATCCCGTGCTTCCCTTCAGATGTTGACGTCTTCATGATCCAGTCGATCACCAGGAGAAAGAGGAAGGGTGAGAGTAAGAAACCTTGCCTAACACCGGTCTTTACTTCGAACGACTTTGTCAACTGTCCTCCATGCACGATTTTGCAGTGTAATCCATCATATGAACTCTGTATGATATTGACTATCTTCTGAGGCATGCCGTAGTGTTGAAGAAGTTTCCATAGTGTTGTTCTGTCCACGCTATCAAATGCCTTTTCGTAGTCAATGAAGTTGATGTAGAGTGATGAATTCCATTCAACTGATTATTATTATTATTATTATTCACAAACATCTTATGGGTACATAAGTGTTGTGAAGAAACCATTTCGGGTTTCTTCAGAAAATGCAATAATACACAATTTTCAATAATGTTAGCATTATACTTGCCATATTTAAAAAAAAATTGAGAATAATAATAGTAGAATATTAATAATAATAAATGGGGTCTTTGTAATTGAGAAGAATATTGAATTGAGTTTAAAGAAGGAAATGGAGAAAATAAGGGAATAGAAATAAAGGAGACGTGAAATACGCAAACAGTCTAATAGGCGTGTTTATGAACACAGGATTGTTCCACAATGATCCGTAGAGTTGCGATTTGGTCTGTACACGATCTATCCTTACCGAATCCTGCCTGTTGGTCACGAAGTTGGACGTCTATGCAGTCCTTCATCCTGTTTAACAATACCGTGTTGAAGACGTTTCCCGGTATTGAGAGAAGAGTGATGCCCCTGTAGTTATCACACTTGCTGAGATCGCCTTTCTTCGGTATTTTGATCAGAAGTCCTTCTTTCCAGTCTGTTGGTACTTGTTCCTCATCCCAAATCTTATTGAAGAGAATGTGGAGTATCCTTGCAGTTGCCGCTACGTCTGCTTTTAGTGCCTCTGTTGGGATGTTGTCCGGTCCTGCTGCTTTGCCACTCTTGATTTGTCTGATGGCCATGCTGATTTCTTCAATTGTTGGTGGGCCAACATCGATTGGGAGGTCCGTGGGTGCTGCTTCGATGTTGGGTGGGTTCAGTGGGGCTGGTCGATTCAAGAGTTCATTGAAGTGTTCTACCCACCTGTTTTGTTGCTCTTCAATGTTGGTGATTACCTTGCCTTCCTTGCTTTTCACTGGTCGTTCTGGTTTGCGGCGATTTCCAGAGAGTTTCTTTGTCGTGTCATACAATTGTCTCATGTTTTCTTCTCTTGAAGCCTTTTCCGCCGTCGTTGCTAAATCTTCCACATATTTACGTTTGTCGGTTCCGATGCTCCTCTTCACCTGTTTGTTTACTTCTGTGCATTCAGCTTGTGCCTTGGCTTTTTCTGCTCTTGTTCGGCTGGTATTGATTGCTGCCTTCTTGTTCCTCCTTTCTTGAATCTTATCCAGTGTATCAACAGTGATCCATTCCTTGTGGTGGTGCTTCTTGTGACCCAGGACCTCATGACATGTTGAAGTGATTGCCTCTTTGATCCCCTTCCAGTTGCTCTCCACAGTAGTTCCTTCTCCATTGAGTAGATCATGAAAGGCCTGGAACTTGTTGCTGAGGACTATCTTGAATTTGTTGAGTTTGTTAGTATCCTGAAGGAAGGCCGTATTGAACTTTTGTGATATTGTCCGCCCAGTTGTCCAGTGCTTCTTGAGTTTCAATTTCATCTTGGCGACCAGCAAGTGATGATCTGATGCTATATCAGCTCCTCTCTTGGTTCTCACGTCCTCTATAGTCCTCCTTAACGTTTTGTTGATGCAAATATGGTCGATTTGGTTTTGTGTAGAGTGATCCGGTGAAGTCCATGTGGTTTTGTGTATGCGTTTATGTGGGAATATGGTGCCGCCTATGACCAGTTTATTGAAGGCACATAGATTTGCAAATCTCTCACCATTTTCGTTCCTTTCTCCCAGTCCGTGTCGTCCCATGATTTCTTCATATCCAGTGTTGTCCGTTCCAACCTTGGCATTGAAATCTCCTATCAGAATGGTCAGGTCCTTTGTTGGGCACTTCTCGATGATTGACTGCAGCTTATTGTAGAATTGATCGTTAGCGTCTTCATTATAGTCGTTGGTAGGCGCATAGCATTGGATGATGTTCATTGAAATGCCCTCTTTCTTTGTTTTGAAGGGGGCTTTGATGATCCTTGGTCCATGAGATTCCCATACTATAAGCGCATTTCGCGCTTGTTTGGACAACATCAATGCAACTCCTTGTGTATGTGGTGCATTTTCTTCTTCATGGCCGGAGTATAACAGAAGCTCTCCTGAAGTTAGTCGTTGTTATCCAACTCGCGTCCAATGTGTTTCACTGATCCCAAGCACCTCTAGGTTGTATCTCCTCATTTCTGCAGCAATTTGGAAGGCTCTCCCGGTGTCCCACATTGTACGAACATTCCATGTACCTAAATAAATGGTCCCTCTGGTTGTCAGAAGGGGCCTCGGCCTCGTAACTTCCGAAGGAATTCGGCTTTCATCATGAGGCGTCATAGTTCTTCTAAATGAAGACCTGACTCCCGGGGCAGAGTTTAAAAGGTTTGAATTAGTCAGTCAGTCAGTAACAACGTAGAACTTCGTACGTACGTAAATCAGTTCGAGTTGCCACACTACATTAGCACAGAGATGCAGTGGTCGGTTCAAATCCCGTAGTGGTAGAGGCAATAAGAGTATAAGCAGTAATCAGGTAAATTAGTGTTTGGAGATGTTATTTAAAGACTATAATACAGTGAAACAAATTTGGGAAGAGAAAAAAAGAGACAAGGAGGAATAAGGAGATCAAAATTTAGCGAGTTAGTTTTCTACGGGATGGGGACGCTAACCCCATGCCCAACCTTCCTCCTTTATCCGGGTTTGGGGCCGGCAGTAGCCTCCGGAGGGACTTCAGGCGGAGTTAAGAAACATCTTGCTTAAGTAAAAATCTTCTGTACATCACTTATATTTTTGAGGACTGCATTAGTGTGACTGAATGGGTGGGAAGATTAGGGTATGCAGTAACGAACAAAACTCTTGATGGACCACAAACATTGAGGTGACGATGGTCAACGAACTGCCGATAAGTTTCTTCGTTAAAATAACGATTTCTAAGTTAATTCATTAGTTTCAGTATTTATCGTTACTTTGTGTTCTGTGGTGCCGTTTTAATAATTACTTTTACTGGAAAATCTTTAGAAGATCAAAACTAGCTTACCATGGCACCAAAATCCATGAAAAAGCTAACTGGTTTTTTTATTGTGGATGTATTTTTAAAAAATTGTAGTGAGAACAAGAACATCAAATAATAATTGATAGACTCCATGATTATCTGCAAAATTATGTGATGTTCTTCATATTTCTGGGAACGATCATATCCAACCGTAAAACTAGTTTTCTTTTATTGGTTTGTTTCAATGAACTTTATGGTTCAGCGCTCACTCAACTGTTTTTGTTGTTAATACATTTATTGTTAAGATGGCAACTCTTGTTGATGCAATACAGAGGAAACAGGAAAAGTTGACAGAAAGTCACATTTTAGTTGGCCACATCCAAAAGACATGTAATCGTGACGGATCGAATATTCTATTTCCTACTCGGACATTAACAATGGACTCTCAAGATATAAAGAGCATTGGTTGCAAGGATGAATTGCTAAAAGCAGCTGAAAATGTTAGGGAGTTAGATTTGGCTTGTAATCGGCTGTCTTCATTTGAAGAGGTGTGTGTTTCTATTCGCTGAATAATTATAGTTTGGTATCCAGCCAAAGTTTAGACGGTTTTTTCATTGATAAGTCCAAATTTCAATAAATAATAGTGGCTTTATCGTATTAATCGAGGCGCTGGTTGTGTATGTATAATCCTATCCGGTTTCCAGAAAGCTTTTTGTCTTGAAATGTATTAGGCTAACAGTTATGGGGCTCATCAGTCATAAACCTGTGTGTTGACTGTTGTAACAGTTTTCTTAATTTGTGTGTTGTAATAAAAACGTAAGACCAACCACCTCAATAGGACAAAACAGTAACTATAACTGGAGTGGGGAGTTATTATTATTATTAAATAATGCTAGAAAAGTTAACTCAGATGATATAAGATACTTTACCGGTATTACAGCATAAAATAGTTCCCTTTGAGCTGATCCCAAAGATTTTGAGCCTAATTAATTATGGTCAGCATCAATAATGTTGTTTGGCAGTATCGTGTTTGGAAACTATCATGCACGGCTCGCTTTATCTGTCAGTGATTTCTACTAAAACTATGTAGTCTGCATCAGTCCTATAAGTCCATTTCAAAAGTAGTTCGTTCAGCACAGCCTGTTTGGTTTCTTTGTTGGAACAGTCATCTTATAGAATATCAGTGGGATTACAGGGAAACCTAACTATTGGCAGAACTACGAAACTATTTTGATTACCTAAATTGGTTGTGAGCATTTTAAAATCAGTAAGCGCGATTTATAATGATCTGTTATACTTAGTATTAATAATGATTATACCTTACTCTGAACAGAGATTTATCTCATGTATTTTTAAACTTAATGGAGAAGATCAGTATGTGTCTATTCCGGTCTTTGACCTCAACGTGAAATGCAATAATATAGGATAGTAAATATTCATTTTGGCTTTTTCTGCTACATAGTACTATAAGTTCGTTTGAAGCAGAGGTTAATATTACTGACTGATCACAAGCTAATGTTTGTTGCATTTGGTTTCAAAGCCAGCTTGCAAAAACTCACAGCAAATCGATCTCAAAGGTAGGCACTTATTGTAAGTTTGGGGTTGAATATCGCTTTATTGAAGTTTTTAGTGGGTAGATATGCTGTCTGAACTGATAAACATCTAACTCAACGCAAAAATCAGTTGTTTCTAATTTTTAGTAAATACTATGGAGTTTGTCTTTTAATAATAAGGAAATGACCGGATGTTTCACTTAATCTAGCTTTAAGGTTGCAGACCAACTGTTCGCTGTTTAGATAATTATTATTTAACTAATTAACTCACTCAGCTTCTTATTAATTAGTAAATATATGGCAGCACTGTAATACGAAAGTACCCATACAATATTTGTTTTTGATTAATATTTCGTGATGCTTATATGTTGCTTGTTTTATCTTTTTAGGTATTTAAAATTCTATGTTGGCTTGAGAAACTTGAATCATTAAATTTAAGTCAAAACCCACTAGGTTGTCATATCTCTGATAACCAATCTTCCAATTCATCTTTTGATGAAGATACTATTGGTTTATTATCTACTGAAGGAGAAGAAAATATTCAACCTATGAATAGCTCTGAATTATCTATACGGGATCAAAATTATTTTTATTTTAACAAACTGTCATCTTCATCCAAGTCGAATAAAATACTTCAGTCTAAACATAATGAAATTGATTTCTCACCAATTTTTCACAATGAATCCATGAATGATTCAATAGAAAAAATTAAGTCGACTAACCATCCAAATGATGGTGTTGGTAGTAATGGTAATCTCAAACAAACAAGAGGAAATGAACCATCTAACATGAAAACGCTACCAAAGGTAAGTGTTCTACCAAATATAAACCGTTAGACGGAATTTTTTTCATTTATATACTGAATTGGTTAATTATTGAGATCAGTTCAATTTTGAAACGACTTTCTTCATTGATTAATCTCAATTGGGGAATTTTTGAAGCCACCTAGCGCTGGATAGTCATCCCCTTCAATTTTTAGACTCCTCAGAAGTGTATATTTACAGTCCCGACAGGAATCATATCGTTTAGGAAATTGAGTCGTGATCAAATGTTTTAAATTTCAAAATTTATTTTCAAACTAGAACAAAACATTTGTCCAGCGTCTTTTGGTTTTCGATCGTTACCCAGTTGAGATTGACCCGTGATGAAAATTAATTCGGAATCATTTATTTATTCATTCAGCTATCGTAATGTTTATTCGATGGGCTTGATCCGTCTGAAGATAAGTTCCATATTATTTTGGTACTGAATCAAGAACATCGATAACAAGCTCTTCTGATACATTTGAATAATTTACTGAGACGATCCCAATCAGGACTAATGTTATAAAATTAGAACTCAGTATGCATGTCAACAAGTCACTGTGTTTGGTCATATTACTCGAACTGTTTTGTAATGGTATATTATGCAGTGCTGACAAACTTCTAAAACTTGTTAAAATGAATGCTTCAATCATTCAAATCAAGCACAGTGTCTATCATAAAAAAAGCTGGAGAATCTGATTCCGGTTCCCGAAAACAGTTGTAGGTATTACGTACGAGTGAAAAATCTCAAAGCAACTGTATAGTTTCGCTCTAGACTTTAATATCGTTTAAAGTAAAATCATTTCAGAATCGGGATCTCCTTGTGAATTAGTATATTTCATATTAGGCTTGAAATTCGTTTCTGCGTTAATGCATAATTGTGAAACAACCTGGTCTATCATCTTGGAGTATAGATAAGATAACAGTGTCCAAACATACGTTTCTTCTAATTATTGCTAGAGTATGAGAGAAATATCACTCAAGAAATGGTTTTATTTGCTGTAGGATACTAAGTTAAGGTGGTATGTTATTGAAACCTTAGACTTGGAACGGTCGGAAGATGTTGTCCCTATGCTCAACCACCTACTTCTGAATACTGTGACGGTCAGCATAGAAAGTTGTAGGATTCCTTGATGGAGTTTTCGTGATAACTGTAAACAACGGTTTGTAAACTACATCATATGGCTGGAAATCAATTGTAGGGGTGTAGATTTTATTTATTTTCTGTCTTAAGTTGAGTTTCCAGTACTATGTTCTATATTTTCGTTTCTTATGTTTTCATTTGGTCTTTTTAATTGTGGCTGCTGTTAGTGTTTTTACTTTTGTGGCAATGCCTAAACTGATGAAGTATTTGAACGTGTCGATCGCTTCACTTGAAAGTCTCATCAACCCTGGACAAATGGTGTCTGATAAAGCCTCAATTGGCGTTTATCAACTTGCATCACTAGTGACGTAGGTGAGATATTCGGTTGTCAACCAAAGGGTCGAATATACCATGCGGTAGTTCGCTCTGTTCTACTTTACAGTTGTGAAGTTTGGGTTTTAAAAATAAAGGATATTCGTACGGTACAAGTAATTTTACAACTGTACGTTTGGATTCAATTTCCCTCACCACCATCATACCCATCATATATTCTTTCACTTTAAAATGACCCAGAAATTAAATATCTTTCAAAAGTACAAGTCGACAAACAAATGAAGTTATTCATAGTTAAGTTCTATCTTTATTTCAGTCAAATCGCAATGTGTTTTTTTTGTGAATAAAAAGTACATTTTCTTCCTTACCCAAATATTTTCTACACTTTCTTTACGCAAAACTATTATTTTTGTTACTATTCTTCTTCTTCTTCCATTCGCTTTAAATTTTTGCAAATTTTTGTATATATTTCATTCTACTCCTTATTTACAATTAATTTCCAATGCAAATATTACAACAATAATAACAACATGCATATATAAGGAAGATAATTGTATAATCAGGTGATTGGCATGATTTACTTATCCAACCGTATGATTTCATTATGCCATCATATGACCAATCAACTTGTATGCATGTGTGTGTGTGTTCATATATATATATATATATATAAATCACTGTTATTGAATAGTGAAATTTCAATTGGCGGAACCTAATATTTATTTATTTCTTTTAAATAACTTCTTTGTCTTCGAGCTATTATTATATTTGTTCCTTTTATGAAGATTGATAGAAATACTTTAAATTAGTTATATAATAATATTTATTGCTTTTTTTGATCTGATCAAAGTGTTTTTAATGTAAGATTGAAACTAGTTGTTTTACGAGTTCAATTTGTTTAAATATTAAGATATAATATCCATTAAAGAATAAATGAACTGATGATAAGGAGTGAAGTATTTGAACGTGTCGATCACTTCACTTGGAAGTTATAAAAGGTTGGAAGTGAGTTAGGGATGGATGAATCAAGATTTATTATCGGTCTATGGAGTCATTGACTGTTGATGTGAGTCATATTGGTAGGCGTAGACTACATCCGATTAGGATCGATGCAGTATCCTCTATGAGTAGTTGGAAAAGCTAAGTGACATGATTCGTAATTGTTCATATTGACGCGGTTGCATCCACTTTATTTCTCAAAAGTTATTCTGGTATTCATTTTTACATACCACTGCATTACTTCTCGAACCATATCCTCAATGTTTAGTCCTTCTTACAATGATTATTGCAACTGCTTTATTACTCATCTTAATTTCACATTGCTGTCCTTATATGGTACGGTAACTCGGACTTACCCACATTTGTATCAGGCTCCACATTGATTATAACTGGATAACTGTCCTACAGTTATTGTTTACTCGGAAAGTCTCTCATTAGCTTAACTTCTATGTGTATAGGAAAGTTTTGTTAAACTTAAGAAGAGTGTAAATCATATGGTAGAAAACAGCTAATTATATATATATATATATATATATATATATATATATATATATATATATATATATATATATATATATATATAACTAATCTAGGTAAACATAAAGTATACAGCCGAACGACCTCAGAGTTTTAACCGGTTTAAGTTGGTTAGGAGACGACAGAGATCATTGGATAGATTTTCTTGCTAAGAATTCAGATTGTGATACGGATATTAGGATCTTAGCATTATAGCTGATGTCAGTTTGTGATGGAGAACCTAATTCTAACTCCCAATACTCAACGCCAAATCCTATCTTTATTTTGATATTTGTGCTATGAACTTAAAAGGCTTTTTTCCTCATTGGTTCGGCTGTATACTTCATGTTAACTCTAATCTGCTCCCTATCCTTGTCCTCTGGTTAAACGCTAGGTTAGAAGGGATTCGAGAGTTTATAAGTATTTAGTTGTTATCTGTTGTTCATTGGCCACTGACCCTCCAGGCAACATGGGCGAACTAATCGATCATCGGACTAGAGAGAGACCATGCAAGTGCTGTCCTGTAATTACAGCCCGATCACACGGACCCCAATATAACTCAAGCATTTACTTTTTTCCGTTTATATGAGCAACAGTTTGAACTAATCCACTATTGGCCAAGCTTCATGATTATTGTATGATAATCTGGTAATAATGCATTTATCATATATGTATTATCATGTTGCCGTCAACTTAATTTTCTTTATATATAGCATTTTCCTATTAAATTTGTAGCATCCTTCAGCTCCATCTGAATTGGCTTTAAATTCCGGTATTATATCTCCTACCACAGTGTTTCCTTGTTTAAGTGTACTCGCATTGAATTCGACGTATGTACCATGGGATTGGGTGATTGATCTGCTTTATCGACTACCAAAGTGAGTTATAACAAAGGAAACTTTTGTCATGAGCAAATATTTAAGACTTCATGAGGTAATCTATTTTTAACGAAGTTATTATTATTAAACTATACAGCTGAAAGTATATCGTGATAGTTATAGTGGAAATATTATTTCATTTTGTGTGTGTGGGGGGGGGGAGGTTGAGATATGCAACCTGTCATTTGAATTGATCCTATGCCTGAGTGATATTGATGTTTGCTCAACAACTCCTGCCCCCACAATCCACACAGATACAATTAAAAAACAAAATAACTGGATCGTTTTCTATGTGACGGGTTCATACATTTACTTTACTTGGAAATATACATTGTTAAAATTCATATAATCAAGAAATAGTAATGGTTTGAATTATTCCATTGTTGATATTCAACACTGAATTTTCGACCAAGCTTTGTTGAGACATGTGCATTCTCCATGTATTGCATCGACACAGCTATTTCATCACAAATTTTAGTAAGGCTGAATAGTAGCTAAGAGAGGAATTTAGGGCGCGTATTTAACCTTATTTGGGACTTATCTGTAGCTATCATTGTGAACATCAACAATGCTGAAATGTAACAGGTATATCCAGATGACAAGTTAAAAATAAAACAAAATATGCCTCTTGAATTCGACTGCTAGCCACAATTCATCTATTTTAGAAAATGATTAAATTTCATTCAAACTACAAATAAGCGTAAAATACAGATTTTATGCAACAATGAAATTAAAAACTGTGTTATAAGGCTCATTTATTGATCACTGCTATCAATAATGTAGCTTAAATGAAATATCATTTTAATTAAGATCATAAAGTTGATCAATGTTAGATCACCATTGAAAACCTAGAAGCATTGGACTTGCGCAAAATGTTTCTTACTTGACTCAACGCATAACTTTCAAATGATTCAGAATTGAAATATCTGTCTGTTTTAGCATTATGTACCAATTAAGTTTGATATGATCAACTTTTCTCGCACTAAGATGCATTAATAATCACTTGAGAAAGCTTCTAGTCATAGAATTGTTTTCGCTTAAGTTTACTCTCTTTATGCATATATACATGTCTTAACAGTGAATATTCGTAAAATTTATTTGTTCAGATAATCTTTCTAAAAACTAGTTTTTGGAAAGTTTAGCATCATTTTAGTGTACTAGTTGGTGAGTGGTGTGTAAAATCATTCAACATTTCACACACACACTATCTAATTGATGGGTGAATTGACCTTATCCGTGTATATCTAGGATGTGAGTATCGTACGTCATACTACTATATATATCACAGCGTAGATAAACATCTCTTTATACTTGGAATTTTCCACTTTACTCCGTAAACACAAAACGTTCTAACGATTTGTGTATCTTACATCATAGACTGACCTTAGACAAACATTCAAAACTAGGAAGGACTGGATAACTGTCTCATCATAGTATGGGGCTCCTTAGTAGTACAAATCCTTTATATGATGTTCCTGTGTTTTATTTTAAGTGCTAATCTTGGGTGTGTACTGCTAAGGAGTTCCATGCTAGGATGAGACAGCTGTCCAGTGCTTCCTAGTTTTCAACAGTTATTTAACCAAGTTTGGTCCGTGTTGTAAACTGCAAAATTCAATAATCTCCAGAAGATCGCCTCCTCCCCCTGTACTAATAAAAATATTTATATTTAATATCCTTATATTTTTAAATCTGTTTTCAGCTTAACCGATTTACACGTTGCACGTAATAATTATGGAGCAGAAGAGCAGACTGAAGTATCTTCTGATCATAATGATGATAATGATGCCACACCATTACCCGTATTTCCTCATTTACACAGTTTATATTATAGCGATAATGGCATATCGAATTGGTGGACAATATGTCGTTTGTGTAAACATTTCCCTGGATTGGAACAATTGATTTTATTAGGTAATCCTATTGAACATATACCATTTCCGCAAGAGAATTTACATACATCTCAGCATACTACAACAACAACAACTACTACTACTAATAGTAATAATAACAATAATAATAATACTGATAATAATACATCAAGAAATACTTGTTATCAGCATCAGTGCTTATTTCAAAATGTACATACATTAGGTTTATCAGAAACACTAATCAATCAATGGGAAAGTATTGATGCTTTGAATGAATGGATGCCTAGTTTAACCAATTTACGATTAGGCAATACTTTACCTGTATTTCAGGTATGTTTTTGTTGTTATTATCTGTCTGTTAGTTTACTCTTTTTTGGGAAATTATTACTTCATTAATGATTATATCTACTACGAACTAATGCTAGCCGGATAACTTTTAGACATTAAAAGATATTGAGTAGATGTCACGTTTGCCTAACGATAACTTACCTTGAAGGGTGGTATTTACTGATATATATGTAGGTTGAAAGGAGTCTAAATGAGGTAAAATCAAGATGTGACATCAGTTCATAAAGTAATTGATTGTTGAAATGAGTCTTATTGGTATATGAAGACTGGTTGGGATCTGTCCTATTATTGTGATAATCGTAAGAGATGTTGGGTGAGATGATTCAGAATCAGTCTCAATGGTGCACAGATATATTCACTTTTCTTATTCTTTTAAATCTTAAGTTTTGGAATTTTTTATACTTTTTATTCCACGAATTCATTCCATCTCCTCGATTTATATTGTCTATAGCTAATCTAATCTACTCCAATTGATACTATTACCACTACTACTGTAGTGAATGAAGATTCGGTATGGAACACCAACTTATTGTTTGATGCAAAATTACAGAGTACTTTCGTAAAATATGAAAACTATGCATTAAATACATTATTTGCACATTTTCCTTCAGTTGTCTCTTACATGCTTTATGATTCTTCCAATTCTGTTATTATTACAAATACTCTCTGTTAACATTCCTGTTCTCTTCAATTCAACCTTCTACTGGCAGACATTCCAAATTCCGATTGCTGCTACATACTACTAATATCTGTCAACATAAATAGCATACACCACATTACTACTGTGGGATTTATCTTGATTTTTTTAAATCACTTTGCTATACTCATGTAATGTAATGACTTGAATCGATACAGATATTTGTCATGTTCCACATTGTGTTATAATTGATTAATTGACATAAGTACTATACTTCTAAATCGAGTAAATTAAACTGTACCAAGTAGCTAAATGAGTTAATCTAATTTTGTTAGCTTCTAAAAGAAAGAGAAATAAACAACTTCTGACCAATCTGAAACAATTGTTTTGTATATTGTATTTCAAATATCCCTTATAATATGAACTTTAAATCATAAGTACAAATTAATTCTATTTTATAAATTCATTATATTATTGTTTATATTGTGGTTACTAATGTAATAGGCTTTAATATTATTGTTAATTATTAACAATCCTTTTTTTCTTCGTTTAAAATGGGCATCAACAATGTTACATTTAATTCAAGGTCATTTCATTACCCAACATCATCTAATTAGAGAAATTCACTTGGTATTGTTTTACTTGTATCCTCTCATTGTTATTTAGGACTGCAATTGATCAGTCTCATGTTGGCATATATGCATCCTGTGCGGATTACCTCGGTATAGCCTTAAGTCACAAACTTTCTAAGTAAAGATGGATAGTGGCTAGCAGTGAAATCCAGGACGCGCGTTCCATCCTATTTATATCGAGGCAATCCTTACAGGATGCACATATGCCAACATGAGACTGATCAATTACAGTCCTAAATAACAATGAGAGGATACAAGTAAAACAACACCAAGTGAACTTAAACTTCACCCCATTGCACAAGCAGGTGGCTATCAGGACTCAGTAACTAAGTGGATAACGCAATGGCGTTTGAAGCGAACGGTACTGGGTTGGAGTCCCGGAGTGAAAATCAATTCTGAGATGCAGGTACATCCAGCTGACGAATCCCGGATAGGATGAAACGCTCATCCTGGATTCCACTACTATCCACTATTCATCTTCGTTTGTTTTGTTTGAAAAATGCTACTACCAATTATTGTTACTATTATCAATATTGAAAAGAAAAGAAAAAGTGAAAGCCCATTGGTCTATTGAAAATAATGGAGACGTTTAAATGGAGAAAATTTTCTCTTCGATAATATCATTTTTTTGAAAATGTACAATCCTATTTATAGGTAATAGATTTGACTGGGGTACCTAGCCTGTCGTATGCCCTGATGGTGTTCTCGTAACTTTCGGGTTGCCTGATCTGCCAAGGGCAATGGGACAGTGCATGATGTTATTGTTGTGTGCTAGGTTCAAAGAGAACTGTGTTATATGCATTCAAATCCGCCCCGTCATTGTTCCTATTTGCCCCCAAATGCCCTGGTACGGCCGAGAGTGGGGAGAGTCTGCTCTCCCTCTCGAAATGCCCTCACATGGCCACGTGTATATAGCCTCTGCCAGGGAAGTCCTACTCATTGCCTTCTCGTGGCGTGGGTGTTTACGAAATTGTGAGGACGAAAAGCGAATGTCCGGCACTTCAACCGGGTTGGTGGACATGGAGAGTCCACCTAAGGGAGTTGGAAAACCCTGATTCCAAACCAATGGTGCACTTGGGCTCCAATATCCTGAAGTGAAAAATGGCGTTGGCCACCGGCTACCATGGGACTGCATCTCCTGACGTTTCTCCACTACCTTGTGGATCAGACCTTCAGGTCGAAGGCTACGGGTGTGACCCCCTAAGAAAACCACCTGCTTCGGTTTGGGCACCCGAGTAGTATCACAGCCCTCACACATATCAAATGAGATTTGTGTGGCGCATATGTATTTGGTGCCTCTTTTTACCAATATCTATATGTTAAAATAAACGAATAAATAATAGATTTCAAGTATTGAACAAATATGAGTATTGCATCATTTAGAAAAGTAATCAAAAATCATCAAGAACTTACGTTATATAATAGTTTTGGAAGCAATTAAAGGTAATAATCTATAGAATAAAAGTTAAAGATAACTGTATGCTTTATAAAGGGAGAGGAGAAGGTAATAGTTAATATTTATAATTTGTAGGATTCAAGGGGGTGGAAAGACTTGGAGAATAAGGGATCAAATATGACTCTTCTGTACATAGAGGTCAGGTTTAAAATGGTGAATTGCTATAGCCTCAGTTGTGTACAAACTCCTCATCCAAACCTTTTTCGAGCTAGTTCTTCTGAATCTATACAGGATTTTGAATGACGATCCATGTGTTGTAGTGTGACCCAAGTTGATCATGTGTTCAAGAATTCAGCTGTTGATCGATTCTCATTTTTCTCTAGATAGCCATGCACGTTAGTGCTCGGATATTTGTTTACCAAGTTCACACTTTATACGGCCAATATAACCTGCTCCACAAGAGCAAGTAAACTGATAAATGCACATTAAGGTGGTCCTAAGCTGCAGTTTTTCCTCGACACTTCTCTTAAATGAGTTTCTTTCTAAAAAAAACCCATTTCGGAGCTCTGCTAAATAAAACGTCTTTCTCAGTAATCTAGATAGTTTATTCTCTAATATCTCAGCTACTGTATCTACCTTGAATTCGATGTTCAAGAATAAAACTTCCGGACTGTGGATGTATCTTCAACTTGATGTTTTAGTTTTAGACTACTACTACTACGATATTATGTGTTCATTCACCATTGCTTAATACCTTATACTAACTGCTCATTAATAAACCTTTTCAAAATAGAACAAACTACCTTGATTAACCAGTTGGATTTTAGAAATTACACTTATTCATTTGCTTTTTTTGTGGAGGTAGGCACATTAGTTGTTCATGGGAATACTTTTTTCAGCACATTAGTAGAGTACATTTACCAATACAGTTCAGTGAAGGATCATGGAACATTATTAAATATTATATTGCACCATATATGATTGACCATAAATATGTAACATCATACTAGCTATTCGATAGTAGTTAATGATACAAACTAGCCTATTGAAACGTATGTATATACATACACTTCATAATGTATTGAAGAAGCTTTAGATGTGCATAATCTAAAGTTTTGATATGGTTTATCTACGTTGTATTGTTAATTAATGAAATTCCAAAAGGCTGATCACTTAAATGATGTCAGTTATTCTGAGATTAAGTTCCTTTGTAAATATTTTCACTGTCTAGGTTTGATTTGTTGAAAAACCATAAATATATTCTACTGAAATAAAAATAGGGACAGTTATCTCATGTGTACTATGTTCCTTGTTAATGTTTACAAGTGTAGAAGTAGGTTGAATGAAATTTGATTGTGGTCAAGCTAAAATGTGACATCAGCTCACAAGGTCATTGACTGTTAAGTTGAGTTATGCAAGTGGGTACAAACTATCTAGCTCGAATCCTCTCGATTATCATAACCAATGATTGAATACGTTAGGAAATAATGGCTTAGAACAGGTCAAAATAGCACAAATACATTTACTCTAGATTTTGAGCTCTAATATACCTTCATGTATACCCAACGTTTAATCTTATTATTCATTTCTATCTCTTTTCCAATATTCACTTTGTTGTTTTCAACTCATTGTGCTAACGTGGTATAGGAAGTGTTATATCCTAACGGAAAATAAAGGAATAATAACTGCTAGGAATTCTTCATGGATTATTATTACATATATTGTTATGAGATAATTATTAAACAACTAGAATATACATATGTTCCTATTCCATTTATTATAAGCTTTTATATGACCTATTGACTACTATTATACGATTTACTATTCTTAACTTATTCCATACTTATCAGTTACAGTCTCCTATACTTAAACGCAATTTGGGGTTTAGTTTATCTAATAATTATTTTTAATTTTATGGTGGGATGCGGTCTGGTTTACTTGTATATAAGTCACGTATGTCCGAAATAGACGACTTAAACAATAGAGGCTTAGATTGCGTTCTGGACCGAACGGGTTGGATTAGGCCTAAGAGTTGACTCAAGGCTGTTCGTGCTGGTTAACGCATGATTGGTTTAGCACATGGACAAGGTTACAGAAGTTGGTTTTCTGAACAACGATTTTGTCATCTGATATTTGACGGGTCATAGGACATAATAGGAAGTTTGGCCAATGTACATTTTGTGTTAGACTGTACATTAATTATAACTAACTAACCGTGTAAGAAATATTTGCACCAACATTTTTTAAAATGTTAGAATTTATCTCAAAATCCTTTTTGTTTGAAGTTTTCTTTACAAAATAATTATATATACATTATGTGTATATATCTATATATTTTCAGTCTTGGATAGAACCTGATTGTCGAGCTCATGTAATTGCCAGATTACCAAAACTTACTACATACAATCGAAGTGTCATTGATTCAGAGGAACGTGAAAGTGCTGAACGAGAATTTGTTCGATATTATGGTCAAATTGATCCAGATAAACGTCCTAATCGGTTAGTTATAAAAAGTTGAAAATCAACTCTTATAAGTTAATTAATAAAATTTTATAAGAATCAGATTAATTTATAGATTGTATTTATCACAAATAGGGTAACATTAAAAATCTAAAAGCACTGAACAACTATTTCTACATAATATAAGACTAATTACAATTGATTGATCACTGGGTGGTGATCAATGTCATGCTTGTCTAGTCCTTATTAGTGCAGATCGAATGCTATCGATCATGTTGCAATGTGGCCACCAGTCTAGGTGACTCGACAGGGAGCACCAGTTCCCTCAAGATTACAGGTACATCTTGCTGACGAGTGCCAAGTAGCACGAAATCCGGGTCCAGGGTTTCCTGTTGACTACCTCCAACCACCATCTAATAAGACTAATTATCAGAGTTCACATTTTTGAAAAGTTTTATGATCGCATTGAAACAGTTATTAAGTCCTGTTTGATTTTCAATGGTACTCCGATTCAGATTAATTATGTGATCATTTCAACTTAGGCAATAATTCCTATTCGATTATTTGTCAAGAAGAAAAAAAGCAAATATAACTTACCATTTGATTTATTATTATTAATGGCTTTATTCAATATGACGAAAGCTTTTAAAAGCTTAGATATTTATTGTATACTAACATCAAAAAAGTATTTATATTCTGTTATAGTTTTGGATGTCATTAGTAGTAGGGCGAGACTGTAATTTATGGACGACCTTTGAACGAATTTTAAGTGACCTTGAGAAATATTAGCCAATCAGCAAACAGTCAGTATAAAGTAAAAATATATTATAAAAAAACAAGGAAATAAAGTAGATACACTTCTTATACGTGGTTCAAAATCTTGTCAAGGTTAGAAAGAGGTTCAGAAGTTCTAAAATCGTAATGCTTGCAGTAGAAGTAATCATCCATATGGCTACAGAATAGTCGGCCTCTAGAGCCATGATTAAGTCTCAAAAACTCTTTCAGCCTCGATCACATAGCTTTAATATTGTTTATGTTCACTCCGGTTGTTGAATGCACAAAACGCTACTTGTGGATAATGACACGACGCACATAACCAATCCTATGTAGTAGTCTGTACGCTCTCCAATCATCTGTATATATTGTAGTACCTGGCTGCTGCCAGTGTTACTGGTGCTTTTATTATCCAGTTCGCAATAATTGTCGTAATTCGCCTTAGTTAAGAATTATGTATGGGGTTTTCATCACGAACTGACATCAGCTATAATGCCAGAAATTTATTTAGCCAAATGGATGAAAGGCTTTCGCATTGAAATCCGAGATCTGTTATCTTATACTTGATTAATTCCTCCACAAATTATAATCTCGCCATTTTATTTGATATAACCGCTCAATTATCACGTTTCGTACAAAATTCCCTGTGAACCGATCGTGCGTTAGCATTAAACACTGAAGTTGGCGCCGTAACCTTGAAATCCCTAAAACGCTTCGGATTGGCTCGCCGTAGGATGTTCACATGACTGATATAGTCGTGAAAAATTTCACTTTTTAGAATTTCTCTTAATTAGAATAAGAAATCAACTGTGGTAGTAGTTTGTTATATTCTACCGTAGTCCAAATGTTCAACTGATAATGTGTACCTACAATAAACGTGCCTGAAACAGCTTCTTGAGTATGAAAATCAAGAGTGAATGAACAACTTTTATTGATCAACTGAATCCAAGTATATGCATAAACTTATTCGTAAACATAAATCTGTTCCTTCAAAAAGTAACCAATAACATACACTTATTAGTATTTCTCAATCACCATTTAACCTTGATCTGATATGTATGATTAGCCAAGTGTATCATAGTCACAAGTACTTTTCATTATTTCAATTGTTGAGATCATGAGTCAATTGAAGCTAGACCATCATGGAAAACCTGGAAGCACTGGATGGCCATTTCGTCCTATTGTAGGACTCCTCAGCAGTGCGCACCCACGATCCAGCCTCGCAGGATTCGAGACCAGTAGGTTTTCAATAGTGACTGAAGATAGGTCCTGGGTTCGAATCTCGCTAGTCGGGATCGTAAATGTGCACTGCTGAGGAGTCGCACAATAGGACTGCGAGTGAAAAGGAAGCTTTATTGGGTAAACCAGATAGATAGATATATACCAGAAAAAATATATATATATATATATCCTTTAGAAATCTATGCCACACCTTCAACCAATGGCGTATATCTCACTCTTTAGAAAAGGAAACCGAATCTTAGCTAATAGCGTGTATCTATCAGTTAACTTACATCTGATTGATGAAACCGTATCAAAATGGCAGGTCGATTGATGGTGTAAATCTTCATCGATTAAATTAATGTTGGGACATGTATTATACATGTCTAACAGTTACTCACATTGGTATTAGGAGTAAATTAAAAATAAACTAAGGTTTGACACATTCAAGACATAATGTTAATCCATGAAATCATTGACTAGTGATTTCATTCATATTGCCAGGTACAAACTTTTCGATTAGACTCCATCTGATGAATGTGGTCAGTTGTGTTCTTAAACTCTTGGTGACATAACACAAAGTCGATTATTAATTTGACACAACTTTCATATAATTTATTTCCTCTTTTCTAACTAATATTTCATACGTCTAGCATTGTTTTTATTTTGTACTATCATAAATATTACTGTTACTGATTTACTACATAAATCTTTTTTAGTTTATTTTTTCTGTTCTGATTTGGTTTGGCGAATTAGGCTAATACACCTTTAGATAACTAATTCACTGAGTGAGAATTATTAACTTATTATGTAAAATATCAACGACCAATAACTTTCGTATACTTCCTATAATAATAATCATGTGCATTCACCAATAACTAATTTCCAAGAAGAATTCCCGGAGTTCTAGTGAGGAGCGGTGACTAGTGGAGTTCAACTATACCGAGTGAGTGAGGCAGTTACTCACCGCAGAGAATGAGAGATGGTCTCACAATATCCCGGGTTAATCGAAATTAGATATGTAAACAGCAGGATCCCAACTCAATGGTCTTAAGTGTAAACGCTGTTCATGAAACTCGGAAGACCTAGGTTCGATCCCCTAACGGGTCGGGAATGAACATTGCTGAGGAGTCCCGTGTTAGGATGAAACAACCTTAAGTAGTTGTCTAATTAACATCAACCCATCATGTAAGCGATAAAATTCATCAATCTCTACAAATCGTCTATAGTATATCTTTAAAAAAGTTATTCATTGAAAAAATGTATAACTTCATTCATACTAAAGAATTTATTTAACTACCCAACTTAAATTTTTCTTATTGTTTTCCTTCATTCTATTGTCTTCTCCTTTGCGAATAACTTATAGGTAGTTGATTTAATGATTAATTTAATTTTTCCGTAATCTATAACTTAATTTTAGTTATTGGGCTCTAGAACGTCGACACGGTCGACTTCAACCATTAGCTAACATTGATTTATCTCCAAAACAGCATATTCATGTACGTGTCACAATGTCAGGGAAAGAAGTAAGTATGATTGGGTTATTATCTATTTATTGATAATTTTTTTCAAGTGTTTTTGTGGTAAAAATCACAAGATCCACCAATTGGTCTCATGTTTTTATTATTATCGGGTAGTTTAAGTCTTCATCGAATGATACCAAGAGATGATCTATGTTAATCTTTATATTTTATAGTACTGTGAAATATCCAATTCTACTTTGAATATATCAACAGAAGGAACATATCGAATTCCAATGATTTATGACTCAATATAGCACTACAGACGTAAACGGTTTGACCTCGAGTTTCAAACTTCCTGACAATTTCCTCTCACATAATCGGTTTCAGGTGTAGAAGAAAATGATAAGACATGAACAATTTCAAAATTATTAGGAACTAACAATTTTTTGGGAATAATTTCTTTATGATTGTCACAAATTAAAAGTAATTGAAAAAGCATTTAAAATTACCCAATGAACACTGAGAACAATTGATATCAGTTGATCCACTGAATATTAACTAAGGTCATGTTTGTCTAGTCCTTTTTAATGTATTTATTGAATTCTATCGATTAAGTTACAATGTGGCTACTAGTAATTAAGTAAATTGATATCGTGTGCACTATGTTTTGATCTTAAGTAGTTGGAAGTTGTTAGGAAACCCTGAACGTAAGTTTCGTGCTAACTAGCATTTATCAGCAAGGTTTACTATGCATTCTTGAAGCAATTAATTTCCTACCTTTGGGATTCGAGCATGCATCATAGTTTATTATGTTACCACTGTGCCAGCCATCCGACTTATGATGGACCACCTTTATGAATAAGTTAGTTCTACTGATTGATCACTGAGTAGTACTCACTGTAATGTTTTTGTAGTAGTCGGTGTTAACACTATACAGTGAAGCGTGTTTATTTGTGTTATATCAGCATCCTTTGCCTAAAAAGTGCGGCTCAAAACTGAGTTCACTAACTTGCTGTTGATAAATGATGTGCATAATCAATAAGGTAATTATTTAGTCTATCTATTTATCTCATTTATCAGATACGGAGTTGTGTACCTAATGTTGTAAAATGTGACTTTTAAAAATAAAGAATACTTACGGGTTACCAATATTCGATCATAGGTGTCTTCAAAACATTTTCGTGTATTTTGGAACCAATGAGTAAGCAATGTCTGGGTTAGAGATAGGTTATTAGGTAAGGATAGCAAATCAATTGGTGAAGTAGTAAATCCTCATCAGTTGAGGTGGTTGAGACATGTGCAACCACCATCTACCTTGACGGACGATGTTATCTGGTGTAGAAGTAGGTCCTAAGAATAATAGGAGTGGCCAAACTCGAGTGGGTGGAGTGGTGTTTGAACCTATGATCTAGTATCCAAAAGTTGAGTGTATTAATCACTGAACCACTACTCCCTATATGACTGTTCCACACCACATGACCATTGCACCGTACACAATGTTGGTCAAATCTTAACAGAATACCTTCAGAGAGGGGCTCACTATCATAGCTATTACGTAACAGTTCAGTTACAGCTGAAACTTATCTAATATTTCGTTTTTCATATCTGAACTAGCAGTCAGTCAAACATGTAACCTCTATTCATCTACATTTTTGTGTACAATTTTTATAATAAAAAAACTGAATAAACCAAGTTTTTCTTTTCATTGTTGTAAATGTACACTGTTGAGGAGTAATACCCTTCTAAAACGAAATAGCTATCCAATACTTTCTAATTCTCAATAGTTGTCTAACTAAGATCAGTTCATAATTTGAAACTAGGCAAATTCTACAATCTTCATAATATTCCCCTTTATTATTATTATTATTATTATTATTATTATTATTATTATTATTATTATTATTATTATTATTATTATTAAAGGTTGTTTCCATCTTATACATCTATCAATTATGTTTAGTTTTACATGCAAAATGAGAATGATTTGCCTATTTTTCTATATCTGTCTTTTTTTCGCGCCACAAAAAAATTTTTAAAAAAAAACATTTGATTGGTTGATTGCAACTTCAAGGTCAACCCATCATATGTTTATTATTATTATTATTATTATTATTATTATTATTATTATTATTATTATTATCCTATCCATCAGATCACGTGAAAAACCTAAAAAAATACTTTTAATCAACTAAATGTGATTAATGATCAAATTTATTTTTATTTTGACCTTAACCTATTTCTTCTTTATTTCAATTTGAAATTTGATCGGACAGAAAAGTTTATATCATGAATTAATTGTAGCTAGAAAATGATTCAAAATTAAAATGTATTAGATAGCTGTTTCGTTTTAAGTTATGTTAGATTGATTTAGATCGGATTAAAGCATATTCCTTACAGGGATTGTGTTGGGTTACGTTGTTTAGCTATCCTCCTAACCAATTAGCGCTGGCGGTAACTTGGAGAACAACACTCTAGAACTTTCTTATGTAAAAATTATAAATATGCTAACATTTTTTTCTTATTGTAATTCCTACTTCTATCCAACTCTTTTATTTGGAATATAATTACATTCCTGTTAAACTGTGTTGTGATTTGGGAACTTATCGAGTAAAGTAGCATCCAATAATACAAAGTAATAGGAATAGCTGGATCATAGTAAGAGGAATTATAACAGTATGGGACTCTTTATCAATACATATATATGACCCTATCATATATGATCGAAAGCAGGAGCTTTGGTCTTGTATGTAAGCGCCAAATGAATCTGGAGTAGGAAAAATTGTGACTGACGGAGTTGAATTATGTCAAGGTATAGCTAAACCAGTTATTATTATTGATAATAATGGATGATAGTTATGCTACTACTTGGTGAATTGATCAGAAATTGAAAATATGAATTTCATTACACTTCAACTTGATGGTTTAAAAGTAGTAACTTATTTGTTGTACAACCTGAGTTGTGGGTATTAGGTTTTATTCCTGGCGAGTTAGTGAGCATGAGATACTAAAGAGTCCTTAACACGAAATAGGTGTTCAGTTTCCCCCTGGTTTCAACAGTTCCCTCAGCTAACGTTGTCAGTTCATCGTACCAACATTTACATTAAACTAATCTTGACACCCTGTTCTAATAAATAATCTCATAGGTTAAGTTTGTTATGTAAACCATAAATCTCGACAATCTTTGCGAATCCCTTACATGCTAATAATAGTCATGTGCTCGCTAGTGACTTATTTCGAGAGATAATTCCAGGATTTCTTGTGAGAAGATGAGATCAGTAGACTTCAACTCTGTAGGGTTGGATCATGGTTGCGTTATGTCGTCAAGTAAATGAAGTTAGATAGTACAAACCTGTTCTTCGGTTCGTCCATCCGTCGAGTTTGTAGATGCTCACTGCTGAGGAATCCCATTCTGATACGAAACAGTTATTTAGTGCTTCTTGGTTTCCAGTGGTTATTTAATAACAGTTCATTATCCAAACTACAAAATATCACAAGTGTTCTTTCTGTCGTCTAAAGGAGACTCACTATGAACTAGTGGTCTGACTAATACAATAACTTGAGAGCTCACTGAAGCTAGAAAATTTGGTATGGTTCAGAACTAGTATTAAAACAAGGTTCACATACGTTGCATAGTCGTTAAATATTCAGACATACTAGGCAGTTTATTTCATTCTGAAGCTTCATTAATTACGGATAATGCCATGGAAGGTCACCCTTAATATTATTAAAAACTATTTAATCTGACCAATTCTTAATAGTACCAATCATTTTTTATGATTATAATATGGGTACTTGTTACAAGTTTCACAGAGAACTCAAATGTATTTTTCCTAACTAATGCACACGTGTTCCAGGTTTCAAATTCCTTATAACGACTGACTAAACCTTTTTAGAATTAGTTAGTTGGTGTTCTATTGTAATGTAAGACACTTGAAATCATATTATATTTCTCGTTAGTTGTTTTGGTAAATATTTGTCATCAAAATTCAACCGTCTGATCCTTACCAGGATACATGACTATTGTGGAGTTAATCTAATAAACACTATCATTTAACTCATATTGAAAAACGTCATGGTAGTCAATTATCATTTACGTAGAGCCTAAGGCAGATGCCTGTTGGACTCATTTGCCATACCATATTAGCTCGATATAATGGAGTTAAAAAAGATGTATATTAAAAGAGATCAAATTAATTTAGTAGCGATGACAGTAAAAACGACTAAATATTGAGAATAGAATTTGGAAAAGCTGATTGGAAAGGATTATATAAATAAATTCGAAATCGAGAGAAAGATAAAGAATGAATGCATCCACGCCACTGTAGACAATTCTGAGTCATGTCATCCATTCTCCAACCACTGATCGCGATTATCACACAGAGCCCAACCAGGTAATCCTCACATGCCAACATAGAACAAATTAACAGTCAATAACTTTATGGATTAATGTTATGTATTGGTTTACCCACTCGAAGTTTCTTTTCCAACCGACGACTACACCATGAAACTTTCCACTATCATGGCGAGGGATGTTTAGGGATATGTAACTTATGTCTTAACTCTAACCTTACTCAGCGAAAATTTATAATCCCACCAATCGATTTGGTACCTTTCCTTAGTAACTGTATGCTTAACCTTAAGATTACTCATTCCGGTCATTCCTCAGAACGTAAGTAATACTTGAAATACATCTATGATCTAAAACCTGTAACGTATACATATCACGATAGCATGTGGGGATAATGTCTATGAGATCACTTTTGACATTTCACAAACTAAATTTTAAATTTATTGGAGTTCGCAATCTCCCGTTATTGATATTTCAAATTGTATTTAATCAATTCCTGCTTACATACGGGCAATATCAATTTATCCGGTAGCCAACAGGGATTGCTTGATTTCCATCCTGAATATTATTAATAGGAAAAATACACGCTCTTATGAATAATAATGAATATCATAAATAATGAACAAGTTTTATACTCACTTTGATCAAAGGTGGTTTTATGTAATAATACCCTAACATTTGAAGCAATAAATACTGGGTTTTGTAAACGTCATCAACACTGAAGATTCAGGTGTATACCTAAAAAAAGGGACAAAACCCATTTTATTCCTAAAATACTTTTCGACCTTGTTAATAAAAATACTATCAGTATAGGGTTGTGGGAATCATTAAGTTTTTGATTGAGATCATGAACTGATTGATGTTAGACCATGTCGTGACCAGTGGAGATAGGTATCTACTTTAGTACAATGGGAGTTGGTCGCTCAATTTCATGAATTGGTTAAGGCTAAACATTAACACCATTGGATGCTGGATCGGTGGTCTATAGAGGTTAAGCGTTCGTGAGCGAGACTGAAGGCCGTGAGTTCGAATCTCGCAAGCAGGATCGTGAATGTACACTACTGAGGAGTCTCATACTAGGACAAATCGGCCGTCCAGTGTTTTCAGGTTTTCAATAGTGGTTTAACATCAGTCGGTTCATGATCTCAATCAAAAACTTAATAAAATATATTATCCAACATATTATTACATCATTCCTCATGATTTCATTTTCTCTCTCTTTCTCTGATTTTCAGGTTTGGTATAATATAAATGTCAACTTAAAAGTATCACAAGCTAAACGTCATTTCTGTAATTTATTCAATATTACTAATCAACATGAAATTAAACATTTGAAATTATTTTATTTTGATCAAGTTATGTCACAAATTCAAGGTCCAGAAGAATTAAAATATCCAAATCGTAATTTATATTCATATCAAATAGAGACTGGTGATTTATTCGAATTAGTACGATATCCGGATTCTTGATAATAGAAAATAGAACTTTTACAAAAGTACAATATGATATGAATGTTTGTGTGTGTGTATGTATGTATGTATGTATGTATGTATGTATGTAATTTGTTAGTCCTTTCTCTTTTTTTTGTGCAACACGCCTGTTTGTATAATAGTCGTTGATCTGTTTGTTTTCATTGTCATCGATTTCCCCTTCCCCTCCTCTCTCTCTCTCTCTTACTCGTCAGTTTTCTTCTTTCCCCCATTTGTCATATTTACTCCCCATTCACAATATAATAGTGTATATTCATCCGTTCATTCATTCATTTGATCTTATTAATTGTGAAATAGTGGTTTATTGATTAAGGTGTTCCACCTTCAATCTTGTTCATTTTTATTCATTTCCATTGGAGCAGCTGAATTGTATCATCGTTATCATCATTTTGAATCCCTTTATCTATTGAATAAGGTTATCGGTTAAAGTCTTAAGTACTTGATTAGTGACTTACATTGTCTGTCTATGTCTATTTGTGAATGTATGTGTAAATATGTACTACATTATAATTGTTCTCTTATTACCTTTTATTTATTCATTCATACAAGATGTGATAGACTCCAAGTTTTTTTCTTCAATTCTATTGATTAGTTAGTATTTTTGACAAATCAATCATGATCATTTTCGATCATTTTGCTTTTAAGGTATAATGTTATGCATACATACTCAGTGTATATGTGTGTGTGTATGTGCTCTTCTGGCAGTTTTGTGATTTTTATTTTCCTGTTTTCTTTTGTTTGTTTTTGAGTTTATCTTTCTTTTTTTTCGTGTTATTTATTTGTTTGTTTATTTCCATACATCTTAATTCCTTGATGAATATAAATAAAGCGCTAAGAACAAGACATCCAAAATAAAATGAATTCATCATTATATTTCAAACTTTCTTTCTCATCAGCTGCAAACAAATTAAATTCGCATTGGGAATATCATTTTAAAGAGTTTCATATACCGTAATCAATGAAGTTTAGTTCGTTAGGTGATATAAATAACAAGAAAAGGAAACAACATGCTTAACGTAATCGTAAAGTTTTCAGTATGGGGTTGTGGAAATTGTTGAATTCCCTTGAAATCATGAACTGATCTAAGTTACACCGCCACTGAAGACTTGAAAGCACTGGAAAGCCGTTAGAAAAGGTCGACCCTAAAAGTGTCACACCTCACGGATTTCTGTCTCAGGCGGTAAGGCCTTTTGCATAACGGAGCTAACATGTTAAAAACTTCCCACAAAAAGGTCGTGCATAACCGGCCTCAAACAGTTGTCCCTTGAATTCTGGTCACGCTCCCACGTCGTTAAGACCAACATTAATCCGACTTCATTTTCAGGTTTCTCAAGAAATACCCTTACATGGTGTGGGCAGCCGGGAAGTGACATCAGCCCTCGTACCCGTAACAGCACCCGAGGCCAAGTCGGCCACATTCAAATCCCTCCTACACCTCCAAATAAATCTCTTATCTCCACGGCTAACCCTTCTCACGTTACTTTATCACCTCGCACCGCTAATGCAAACGATTCGAGTAGGCGGGACGTTATTTCCGGTCTCCTGAAACCACTCTCTAAACTACATGTGGGAGCTTTCAACGTCCGAACACTGTGCCAAATAGGACAACAGGCTTCCTAAACTAGGACTTTAGAATCTCGCGCCATCGGTGTGTGCCGCGTCTCCGAAACGCGCATACAGGATCCGAGTAGCGTCATTCATTTTACCTCACCATATGAAAATAAAGAACCATCTGGATTCACGCTTCGGGTATCTGGAAGCCCTGATGCTGCTTCCCTTGGTCTCTCTGGTGTAGGCATAGCACTGAGTTTTAGGGCATAACTAGTTCTCTTATACTGGATCCCAGTAGATAGTCGTTTATGCGCTGTCCGACTAAACATAAGAGTAAGGACTCGGAAAGATAGGGTTACTCGTCGTTGCCTCTTCGTCGTCTCTGCCTATTCTCCCACTGACTGCAGCTCAGATGTAGTAATAGTGGCTGGTGACTTTAGTGCTCAAGTAAGTAAACTAATCGAAAAGCAAAGACACATGGGTGGATCTAATGTTGTCGTTGCTCAAAGAACAGATAATGGCGACCGTCTGTTGCAACTATGCTCATATAACCGCCTGTTTCTAGCAAATACTAACTTTAGGCATAAGGAAAAACATCTTTTAACATGGCGACCCCCGAATTCGTCCCAACGTTGGACCCAACTGGATCACATCGCTATCAGCCACCGATGGAGGGGCTCATTGAAAGACTGTCACTCGTTATTGAGCACATGCTTAGATTCAGATCATGTTCTAGTACGAGCGCGTATTTGTCTAGGTCTTACTGGATGTAGGAAAGACGCTGCAAGGAAACTTCTCATGGTCCTACTTAATGATAGCCAAGCTAAGAATACATTTCAGGAACAACTAGAAAAACAGTTAGGCAGCCATGTAAGTGGTGCCCACCCCGAGGCAGTGTGGAATGACATCCGAAAAGCTGTGAAAACAGAAGTGATATCTGCTAGTAAGGTAAACCATAAGGTTAGGGAGAAATAATTGATCTCAGCAGCATCTACCGCACTGATAGATGCTCGGAAACTCATTCCATCTGGCTCTGAACATGACGGAGAGCCGAGTCAGCTTAAGCACAGGCTGATAAGAAGCCTATGGAATGACTGCGAACAGTGGTGGGTAGCGAAAGCAAGAGAGATGGAAAAGGCAGTGGCGATAGGTAACAGCAGACAACTGTTCAGACTTGTCAAGGAGACCGGTATTGGGAACCCAACTGTTAGCGAAGTTATCTCGGAATAAGATGGACATATTATTCATTCTCAATGCAGGAGATTGGATCGATGGGCAAAACACTTTAGTGATCAGTTCAACTGACCTTCAGTCACACTTTGGTTTCCAACGATCTTCAGTCGACCTGAATGACAAATTGATGTAAGTCCTCAAACTTTTTACGAAGTTGAAAATGCTATAGGAAATCTGAAGCGAGGGAGAGCAGTAGGCCCTGACAGGTTTACCCCTGAGATTTTGAAGGATGGTGGTCCAGTATTAGCAGTGAGATTAACTGAGGTTTTAAGTAGAATCTGGGAACTGGACGTAATGCCATCTGACTGGTCCCAATCCTTAAACTGTGCCATTCTATAAGAAAGGACAAAAGTCCTCTTGTGGCAGTCGAAGAGGAATCAGTTTGACTAATACTGTCCAAAATAGTAGCTTAAATAATACTTCGACGCCCAACTAAAGCTCGTGAAGAGCAGACATGAGAAAACCAGGTTGGTTTTCGATCTGGACGTGGCTGTATGGACCAGATATTCACACTACCTTAGGTCCTAGTACATAGACATACATTCAGAAGTCCCACAGCAGCAATACTTCTCGACCTTAAAGCGGCATTTGACTCTGTTGATCGTGAGGTTCTGCGGCAGTGTTTGTCACTGGAAGGAGTACAAAAGAAATACATTAACCTTATAAAGGCTATCTACTCGAATACCACTGCCCCCTCGCAATGCAAAATGTTGTCTCAGAAATGGGTTGCATCGGACCCTGAACTACTGATAGGAGGTGAAGTAGTTGAGCGTACCAACCGCTTCACTTATCTTGGGAGTCTCATCAGCCTTTGCGGTCTGGTGTGTGATGAAATGTCAGTACGGATACAGAAGTCTCGACTAGTTGTTGCCAACTTGCGTCGGACGAGATATCCGTCTACCAACCAAAAGACGGGTTTACTGGGCAGCAGGTACGCCGTAGTGTCGAAAAAGCTTCTATAGTGTGGGGCGAAAACTTGGAGATCTACGAAAGCCATCATCCAGATGATACAAGTGTTTATTAACAACTGTCTACGCAAAATACTTCGGATCCGTTGGTCAGACATTATCAGCAACAACCGACTGTGAGAGAGAACAAACCAGATTCCAGCAGAGGAAGAAATCAGGAAGAAGCGCTGGAAGTGGATAGGACACACATTGAGGAAAGCACTCAACTGTATCACAAGACAAGCCCTCACATGGAATCTTCAAGGCCAAAGGAGGAGAGGAAGATCAAAGAACACATTACGCCGAGAAATGGAGACAGACATGAGAAGAATGAACAACAATTGGATGGAACTAGAAAGGAAGGCACAGAATAGAGTGGGTTGGAGAATGCTGGTTGGTGATCTATGCTCCATTGGGAGTAAGTAAGTTCGTTCCGTCCTACTTTGTGGCAGTGAAACATTCCCGGTAAGAGTAGAGGATATTCGTAGGTTACTAATATTCGATCATAGATGTCTCCGAAACATTGCTCGTATATCCTGGGACCATCGAGTAAGTAATGCAGTTATTAGGAAACGGGTACTAGGTAAGGATGGCAAATCAATTGATGACGTGGTGAAACTTCATCAGTTGAGATAGCTGGGACATGTGTTACATATGCTCAACCACCAACTGCCCCAACGTGCGATGTTTTATGGTGTAGGAGTAGGATGGAAGAAAGCTAGGGACGGCCAGACTAAAACATGGCACAAATCCATGAAGTCACTGACAGGTGAACTGAGCCATGTTGGTAGGTGTAGGACTGTCTGATTGGGATCCGCGAGACGATAGCAACCGCTGGTTAGAGACCTTGAATGATATGGCTGAAAATCGTTTGCAATGGAGCAGGTGCATCTACTCTTTGTGTTCTCCCAAATTCTAATCTTCTGAATTCTTCATGTCACTTTTTTTCTCTTTCCAAATTTATTTCACTCAATTATGCTCCTTGAATAACATCTTCAAACCCTAATCTTTCCGATTACTGCTTATACTCTTACTAACTCTACCACTACGGGATTTGAATCGACAACTGCATCTCTGTGCTAATGTGGTATGGTAACTTGATCTAATGTACATACGTAAGAAGTTTTACATTGTTGCTGACTGACTAACTGACTGTTAAATATATTTATATAGAGACACCTCAAATGTTATTCTAAACTTAATTAATTATAATGTAGCGGTAAATAAATCCCCAAAATAAATAGCTCTGTAAGTTTTCGACATTGGATGCTAACCACATGTTTTAATGAATTCACATAGCTGAAGGCGCTCGGTCATGCATCCGCACCAGATCACATGTAGGAACTCCGTGCTCAACATCTACTGCAATCGCTAGCCAGATTAGATCAGTCTATCTTTGATATATTGATAGCCTATCAAATATATCTTCGAACCTCCTCGATTCTGTCTTTTGATTTCATTTGGTGGTGGGTACGATCCATATTAGAAGGTATTACTGGTTAAAGCGTTGTTAAAACTCCGAATACCTGTGGCATCTTCAATAAACTTATAAATACTGGAAGTTTTGTTTAAAATGTTTTTTTTTAAAAAGTTTTATCAGAATGGGTTTTGTGGAGATTTTCAGAAATTTCATAAGTTGAAATCATGAGTCAATTGAAGTTAGACCACCATGGAAAACCTGGAAGCATTGGACGGCCGTTTCGTCCTGGTATGGAATTCCTCAGCAGTATTGGTTGAAGTTAGACATTAACACCGTTGTGGTCTAATGGTTAAGTCCCTGCGCACCAAGCCAGTAGGTCCTGGGTTCGAATCCCGCGAGGTGCGGGGTCGTAGATGCGCACTGATGAGGAGTCCCATGCCAGGACGAGACGGCCGTCCAGTGATTCCAGGTTTTCCATGGTGGTCTAGCTTCAATTGACACATGATTTCAACTTGTGAAAAAAGTTTTCATCTTACATTGGTTTAAAAACCACTTGCAAAAACAAACATTGCCGTTGTCATATCAACCACCTTTTATGATATGTGAATAATAATATTCTACTTATGATGATCATATTTCCATTTCCATAATTCAATAAATAAAGCGTGAATATTAATTATCATAGTGTTATAGACTAGTTTTATTCCATTCAATTAGCATTG